CCCACCCCGCCTTTCTCCTTTTGCAAGAAAATAATTTGACAGTCGATTTGCTGACAGGGGAGGAATTTGCATCCTGGATTAAAAAAAAGGCCGAGAGGAGCTTGGGAACGGTTGCTAGGGGTGGGTAATGGGTGAAAAAAGGGGGGCTCCGGGGAGCGGATAAGGAGGGGTAAGGGAGGGGGCGCGGGTGGGGAGCAATGTAAAGGTAAGGCCAGGTTACCGCGGCTCGGCCCTGAGTGGGCTGCGACCGGGGGAGGGGCGAGAGATACATATGTATTTCTGTCTCCCTAGCACACCCCCTTCCCTCTAAGCGATGGCTGAGAGGCGGTGCATGCAGATGGGGAGTAAGTTTCCTGAAGGGGAGGGTGGATGCACGCGCGCAGCCCCGCGCTGCAAATTTCCACCGGGGAGGGAGAGTGGCTGGATGCGGAGAGTTTGGAGTTGCTTGCGGCGGAGGGGAGGAAGGGGATCAGGGCCGGGAAAGGGGGCTGGCGGGCGCTATATCTGGGAGTAAGTTTCCAGGATCGGGAGAGCCTGCACGCTTGCTCGCTAGTAAGTTTCTGGCCGGGGAGGGCGCTTAGGGAGGAGGAGAGGGAGGGGTGCAGTATATAGAAGGGGGGGAGGGGGGAGCAGATTTCCTGCGGGGAGGCTGAATGCATATGGAGAGTAGATTTCCTGAAGGGAGGGTGGAGGCGTAGACGGACCGAGTAAGTTTCTTGCTAGGGTGGTGGCGGAGGTGGTGGGTTGGTGCTTTGGGAACCCGGAGCTTCCCATCGGTGGTGGGGAGCACGCTGTTTGGGTGGTTGGGGGGGGGGCGGAGGGTTAGATTCCCTGCTGGGGAGAGGGGCTTGCATCTGGGGAGTATGTTTCTTGGCGGAGCGATATTTGTTTACAGGCTGAGGGCAGTACTGTAAGTGAGTAGCGCTTCGAGGAGGCGGCTCTGACATAAATTAATATTGAAATTACTCCATCAGCTCTGCTGGCCCCCCATCTCACCCCCCAAGCGGAGACTGGTCTTGTCGGATTGCCCATGCACTTGTTGCAGAAGCAGCCAAGGTAGGCAAGAAGCTTATTAAGTTTCATTTACAAAATTTTTAGTTGGGAGATGCTCGGTGAGGAGACGGGGCGGGGGAGGGGATGGGGAAAAGTGGGGAGACAGAGAAGGGAAAGTACCCCCCCCACCACCACGTCTTTACTTTCAGTATGTTAGCGGGGCCTTCTCTTTGCTTCCCTCCTTCCCTCTTCCACCTCTGGGCCGAACAGCATCCCATCAAGGGGGAGGGGTGTGGTGGGCGCTGTAATTGGCAGCCCTGTCTTAAAGGGTGGTGGTGGTGGGGCTTCCATTGAAGGATGTGATATTATAAAGCCTTCATTCTTGCAGTCCAGAAACCGCAGGTCCCTAGGGATGTGCCTTTTGGGGTTTTTGACATGATGCTTGTGTGTATGTGTGTCTGCCAGTGGGCACTTTGGGGGTTGGGTACTCCCCAGAAGTTACTGTGGCCACCCAGATGGGAGAGAGATGTTCAAGGGGATATGCCTGCCCCTTCACTCCCCAACTTCAGTTTGGGAGACTGGGAAGTTACTGCTGGTGGTCTGAAGAAATGGATATTAAAAAACAACACAAAACCACCCATTCATTGGCAGAGGCCGAGAGCACCTGGCGTCCGCCTCTGGCCAGTATTGGGCTGGAGCATGTGCGCCTGACATCTTTAGGTTAAGAGAAAATGACTTGTGGTTCTTCCGTGTGTGCCTCGCCTGGGTTGTTAGAGCCAGCTTTGTGGAAACTCTTCCCCAAACTAGAGCTGACTTTGGCAAGTGAACTGTGGAAGCCGACTGCTAAGTATGGCCTGGGCTGTCTCCTCAAGTGCAGGGAAGTGATGCTTAGGAATGATGAACCAGGGATGGCTGAAGAGTTCTTTCAAAAATGCTTCCTGAAAGCGGCCGGATGCATTTTTTAGCAGGCCATGGAGGAAAGCTGTAAGAAAGGAGTTTTGAGTTGTTCCAGTTGGTACCAACCTCTGCATCGTTTACTGGTTCAAGACAGCAGGCTGGCGATGGAAACTGTGCTTTGGTGTTTCCTGGCAGGATAACAAGCAGGAGTACTCTGGCGTTTAACTGTTAACCAGAAGCTTTGGCTTCTCTTGGTCTCTCTCTTCCTGCTCCTCAGCTGCTGGTTTCTGCAGATGAGCTGAAAATCCTGGCTGTCAGGTACATTAATTGTACTGGGAGTTTTAACTTTGCCAGGGTAATTTTAGCACCAAAGATTCAAACCCGGACATGTTTAGTAGATGGTTAAAGTTGGTTAACCGTCCCACAGTTCTGTAGCTAGATTCAGTTCTTGGGCCTTGGGGAGGGGGTTGGAAAGGGGGGGAGGGGGGTGGTATGGGGAAAGAAATGAGTTAAAAAAAAAAAGGATCTCTGTACTTGTTACTGATGGTTGCTGCTTTTTTTCTTTCCTGTCATTGGATTTCCAGGTTGAGAATTTGATATTTGACAACTTGAAAGTTGAGTTAGTTGGGAATAAAATATTATTGCTATTTATCAAATGCTCCTAAATAGGCATTAATTTAAACAAATTAGCCTTTTTTTTTCCCTGCTGGAAAATCTGACTGGTTGGTTGGTGTGTAGATGCCATGAGGGTAAAAAAGATCTTTATGTGTGCTTACCCCAGTGTAGTGGAATAATTTATGTCCCGCCCCTTGAAGCCAAGAACAGTCATTCAGTTTTTTTTTCTCTCTTATATTTATGAGATTTATTTTATTGTTTTGCTTTAGCCATTAATCAAGTAGCAACCCACTCCCCCACTTCTGCCGAGAATGTTCCTGTGGTAATAAAGGTTTGAAGGCCCATGAATCATAATTCATTCTTTTAAAATACTGTGGTGATCGTCAGGATTTGATTTATAGGAATTGATACTGGGAGAGACATACTCTGGGCTCCGCCCTTTTAGCAAGTCCATTTTCGCCAAGATTACATGGAAGCCAGGTTGACATCTCAAAAGAAAAGGTATTTCCCTCCTGCTTATGGACATAGAGAAGATTCATTTTGCAGGTTCCATGGGCAACACAGGTCTTTTCACAGCTTGGTAAGCAGCCTTCCACATAGGAGGCACGTGTTAATATCACGTAGCATTTTATGTGAGCTTGCTATGAAAACTGTTGTTCTGTGAACTGTGTGAAAAGTATTCAGTTTTGCCTCCTTTAACCTTCTTGGGCCTGTGGTTTTTCTTGAGGTGGGAACTTTGATGGAGGGGACAGACTGTCGTGTTCTCTGCTGCTTATATAATAAAATGTGTAATCAGAAAGCTTATTTACCATATTCTTGTCTGCCTTTGATGGGTGGGTTGGGTAGAATAATCAAACACATTAGTTTTGGGGAAGGTATAAGGGTCCTTCATAAAGTTGGTTGATCTGAAGGTTGTTAACATTGTCTTGCAGTCAGCAGTTGACTCAACTTTACAGTATTTGTAAGGTGACCAAGAACTTTTGAGATGATAGTTTACTCTAGGCTGGGGGAAAATGTCACCAGAAAGACGAGTGGGGAAGGTACCCGTCTCTAGCCATTCCTAGGCTCAGATTTTTTATCTTAAAAGTGCTTGGCTTCATTTGTGAGCTCCATCCATCTCTGAAATTCAGGGACTTGTTCTTGTGGAGAGAGGTCTCAAGAGGTCTTGGCAGTCTCTTCCTGGGCCAACGGCCAAATTGCTTCATGGACTTGGGTGAGTTGATTAACTTCTGTTTTTGTCTTCGGGTGAATTGAGTGGATCTGTACGTTGGCATTCCACAGAGGACTCTTAAGTGACCTGGTAATCTTGACCATTACCCTGCAAAGAAATACTTAGGAAAGTTTTCTACCGTCCCGGGGGGAGAAAAGAAGTGTATGGCTGATTCCTAATTATAATCCCAGGCACCAAAAATAATTTCAGATCACCTAAGAAGTTTCCCTTTCAGCCATCTGGTTCACTTGCCTAGTTATGCTTGGTCTAGTCTAAGGTTAATTGAGTTGTTATTCCCAGGCAGCAGGGATGGTAATCTTGGTGAGGAATGGGAGACCAGAAAACCTAGTACGACTTTATCTACTTTCTATGGAAAATTTACATGTGGGTAGTTGTGATTTGGTTGTCTGTTTGCAATAGGATTCATGATAGGGTTCTGTGATAGCGTTCATTTCACCATGGACTTTTTTGATGTTCTTGATTTTTTTTATTGACTTTGAACATTGACATGAAAGATAAGGATCCAGATAAGAAAGAGTGACTGGGCCCCAGACAATACAAATGGGTGCTGATTCTTCTGCTCTAAAAGTAGTTAAATGCAACTCATCTTACTTCTGATCTCATAAAACTATATGACTTAAGAGGGAGGAGGATTAGAATCAGCTGGGATCTTGTGAATTAATATCATTTCTGAATTTGTCTATTGGAGAGGAACCAATGAAGTAAAGGGAAAGCTAAAGCAAAGTTGGTTTCTTTTGTTGGGAGAGGGAGACAGAGTGACTGGATTCCAGAGCAAGTCTTAATAAATCTTTCCTCCTGTATAAAATATGCAACAGAAAGTCTCTGATAGGTTCTAAGGATTTTTATGTTGTTGGGGTTACTACTTGTAGGGTTTTTTGGCTAATTTGGGATTATTGAGGAAATGGATGATGATTGGTTTTTCCTCATAGAAGACAATGAGCTAGGATGTAGTACGCTATTGGGCTGTTGTTTCAGTTTTGTTAAAAAAAATTTTTTTTGATGGAGGGAAGATTAAAAAAAATACACATGCAGTGATAACTGGGCTGTAGAAGGAATCAGTTATTTTCATGCTTTAACTCTGGTTTATTCACAGTCAGCAGCTACTCACTGCTAGGCATGTGTTAAGGTTCTGGGAATACATGGGTTATTTGTTTAGTTATTTAAAGATGTATTTATTCATTACATATAAGAACTGGGGTGTAGGCCAGAGGTGCAGGGGGTGAGAGGGTTCATCAGAGACAGAGTGGGGAGAAGAACAGGTGGATTTACTGAAATACCCTGCTGAAGGGAGAGGAGAGGTCCGCTGTGCCATATGGGTTAGCTCCCTGGTCTGGGATCAACTGAGGCCTCCATGCCTCCATGGTGATAACATGATAGCACTGAGACTTAACCCATAGGCCACCAGGGATGCCCTATACTGTTAATTTAAATAGACTTAATCATTTTCCTCTCCCTAGCCCCTACCCTGCTTAGAGTGCAGAGGAGATTCAGACTTATAAAGAAATAAATACTGCAAAATGTGATAAATGCTTTGATGAAACCACAGGGAATATAAACCTGAACTTAGCTGGAAAAACTTCTCTGAGGATTGGAGGTAGAGGACAGAGAACAACAGGGGTGCCTGGCAGAGGAGAGTCTGTGCAGAAGGACTTTGGTTGGGGTGGGGGGGACAACCAAAAAGAGTTAGTTAGATGTGGGGAGGGTGTATGATAATCTTGCAGAACTCTGGGGGCCCTGAAAGGATTTGGGTTTCATTTGATAGAAACTGGGATCCTATTGAAAGTTTGTGGTGGGAAATGATACCCCCGACTCATATTTAAAGGGAATTGTATTGGTAGAGAGGGACAGGTATGGAATTAGGGACCCCAGTAAAGAAGCAGTGGGGACAAAACAGGTGAGAGGTGACAGGACAATGGAGGGGAGACAGTGGGGGTAAGATGCCCTTTACAGCTTGGGAGGGCTGGGCTTACTGATGAATTTTTAGGAGAGGAGGAGAGGAACTCTGGAAACTCCCAGGATTCTGGCTTGAGCAATTGGGTGGATGGGTGGTGCTGTTTGCTTAGAGGGCAACCGGGCCATAATCAAGCGATTTCAGGCTGGACACTATTTAGTTAGAGATGCCTGGTACAAGGCCTTCTGGTGTAGTGTCCAGTGCCAGAGGAGTGGGCAGGCAGGAGGTAGAAAGGTGGGAAGTTAATGGGGAGTGTTGTGTGTGTGAGTGGGTGGGGTGGTATTTAATCAGGAGATCGAGTGAGATTTCCTAAGAAGAGAGCCCATAGAAAGAAGGAAAGGCAGTGATGTATGTGTGTATGTGTGTAGG